ACGATTACACCCTTAATATTTTACCCTCAAGTTTCCACCCTTACCATTCAACCCTCAGAATGTCAGTCTTATGATTTTTTCGCCCCTTTCCATTATTGCGATTTGACCCTTACAATTTTACTCTTCAGATTTTACCCTTATGATTCCACCCCTATGATTCCATTCTCATCATCTCACCTTTACGACTTAACCCTTACAGTTACACCAACGGCTGGAGCCCAATGACCAAGCTCCGGGCCACCGCTGGCTGAGGCTTGGTTATCGAGCTCCGGCATGCTAATGTCCGGCCAAGGCTGGGCCAGATCTGTCAACCAAGGCTCGGTTACCTGCCCTTCTCCCGAGACTCAAGCTCTGGTCCCCAGGGATGGCCGAACCTCGGTCCAAGCCTGGGCGCCCAGGCTTGGCAAGCCCAGGCTTGTGCTAGGCTTGGCCCGTTTCTCCAACACTGGCATTTCGTACGTGGGTAGTTCTATTTCAATCACTCATATCATATTCATGTAATTAAGTAAGGATTAATTAAGCCAACGACTAGTAACCAACGCTTAGCGACATGCGCGGCTAGACCTGGCCCCATGTTATCATTCCAGGTTTCAACCAAGTCCGGCGCGATCTCAGCTGAAGAACGGGCCCGAACACTGGTAGTCTGATCGCTATACTTGGATCGATCCTGGCCCGTTCGTTTTTCCCTATTTGGGATTCGTAACTATTACGATGTTCCATGGTAGCCATTCCCATCGCCATAGTAATACTTCAGTAATGTTTACTGCTATGCGCTCGATTATGCGCAGATTTTGATATAAGAATATTTACAATTTTATTTTTTCCGTGTACAAATCATCATCGATACTTCTAGAAATCTGAGGAAAACAACCTTTAAAGTAGATGAGCTTCTACTTTTCTGATACCTATTGACAACTCATCTTCAACTGTTCTTTTACTTAACTTCATCTCAAGTGATCATTTTCGCCATTACAACCCAATAAATTATATATCCAGTAAAGCTTGAAAAATATCCATTTCCAAACGGGACAAAAAACCTTTATATTGCAATGAGTTAACCATCTATCACAAAATGACCTTTTAACATCCAAAACTTGATTTTGGAATATCTGTATCAATATCGTCATCAATCAGACATCAGGCCATGCATATTGATCCATTCACATTGGTCCGAAATCACAACAACATACTGTCTACAAATTACGCGGAACGCTATCTCAGATAACATCTTTCGAACTATATCAGCTTCTTCTTTTGAGATGCCTTGAATGATATCACCTGTTCATCTCCACCAGCAGCTCCCAATAAATAACCCACCCCAACCATTTTCTAATTTCTTTTGTCAGTGGAAACTGCCCACAGGCGTGAGAACCAACCCCATAACTGACTCCGAGACAAGTTTCACATTGAAATAACCCAAATATCCCAAAATACCACATACACATGTCCACCTGTGCACTACCACCCGCAGCTTATTGTTCCCATTTACTCCATTCGTTTACTTTCAGTTGTGAAATAAGAAATATTGCCAAACATAGATTCCGAGGTCTGTTTATTCCCCCTCGAAGATGACAAGAATGTAAAGAAGCCGACTGAGAAAACTGAAGGATGGCTATTATATCTGGTAGATGCAACTTGTCCGACGGACCACTATTCAACTCAAAACCCCTCTCTCTCTCTCCCTCCCTCCCTCTCTTTTATCTTCCTTTTTGAAGAAAATTTTTCTAAAGAGATGCGACTCAGCCTCAACCACTGTCAAAAACATAAGTTTTGAGTCGAGCCTCTTCGGCCTCGATATTATACTGCGGTCGAGAGCCAAAGGGGCACCGACTTCTCATAGTGACACGTTGACTTCTTTGACGCACTTTGCGTCATCTTGAGCATCTTGAGAAATTTAAAATCAAGGGGATTTGAGAGATGAGTGGAATGACAAATTTTATGGTAATCCATGGATGGTGTCGAGAATTATTCAAGAGCGATGAACGATTAAGATGTTGGGTACGACTTCTTGTCAATTATTGAGATCGTTTTTCAGGGCAGTACCATTTTCATGGATGTGACATGTGTCCAGAAGAAAGAAAAACATAGGTACATTTTTTCATTTGAATTTTCATGAATTTCAAGGTTAAAATTATTCTTGGCCAGTTATTAACCCTAGCTTTTCTAGAGAATAGATGGGATAAAATGTATTTATAATGAGTGGTTGAGATCGGAAATTTTTCTGACTCTATGACGAAGAAAAAATTACGAAGATAGCTTCCCTAGGTCTCGAGATATGGGAGAAAAACAAAAATGATTAATTTCTACGTTTTCAATTCGTTTTGGTGTAATATAAGTATCAATTATAAAGAATTCAGATTCATTAAAACGGATTGCGTGTTAGGAGTTATAACCAGGTGTGATTTTCGAAACGTTCTGGGCATATCTCACGGGAGAATATATCGTTCAAGCCCTTTTGGCATTCTTTGCCCTCTGCCACCTCTTTTTTTCATTCTCTCCCGTCTTTTTTCATTGGGCCAGCGGTGGGGAGAAAGGGAGAGTGATAACAATGAAGACAGAACGAGAAGGAAATGGGAGATGAAAGGAGGAGGAAGTCGAGAAGGAAAGAGTTGAGAGGAAATACACAGTTTGGGCTGTGCGATCGTTTAGGGAACCATATGTTGAAGCTGTAACGAGTGAGCATTGGAGGGCGGCGCCCGATGAAATGTTTTATAGATTATCTCTCACCTCCAAATTCAGTTCTTTCTTTATCGAGTTGTAAATGTTGTTTGAAGGCATTTATATCGATATAAATCAATTTCATATTATTTAGCGGTGAAAATGATCGGATAGTTGAGCCGGAAAATGATATGGAATAGAATTTTTAGTGGTGGATTGATGTAAAAAAAGTTTTGCACTTGTCAATAGAGAAGCACTTTAGAGGAAGATATGGTGGCCGACGTTCCCAAATGGGATTTGAGCCATTGATGTTAGAATTACGGGGCTATGTTTTGATCAATTGAGGTACAACCATTTAATGATCTTTTCCATTTTAGGAGGAACACTGAGAATAACGATCTCTCTATCTCTATTAGTTTACTCAGTAATCCCAAAAAGAGATTTTATTTTAAATTTTATTTGCAGTTTTTCTTCAGAAGTGCTAAGACAGAATGGGTCATCATTTTGAGTTTGTAATCAAATGAGTAAAATTAATTTGCAATTGTCCAAAATTGATCAGTGGAAGGAGAAAATTGATTAAATTATTAAAAGATGAGGCATTTTCACCTGTGGGATTCAAACCCCCGATATTCAGATTACTGGGTTATGCTTTTAACAATTGATCAACTACATTGGGTTACCTTTTCCATCTAATTTATCGCACAAAACTCATGATTTTTTGTTTTAATTATAAATTTCTGGGGTTTACAATAACCTCAGATGAGATATTTGACGTGAAAACTACACTACATATGACGATATCTTTCTTCTCATTAATTTCCTGAGAAATCTAAATTACAATGTTATTGGAGGTGTAATTATGCAATTTTTCCTAAAAGTACTGAGGCAAAATAGGTCGTCATTTCGAATTCTGAATTAAATGAGTAAATTTTCTGTGGCATTGAAAGGCAACTAAATGTAATCAATGCCAGATCAATATAATTACTATATGATGATTAAATTTCCCAAGTGGGATTTTAACCCTTGATGTTGAGATTACTGAACTATGCTTTTTCCAATTGGGCTACTGCATTTGATTACTAGTTTCATTATATTTATCGCATACAATACACGGCTTTTCTCAATTTTGAGATAACTTGTCTAAAATCAACAAGGACTTGAGATAATTCTATCTGTCGTATTAGAAAATTTTCAGTAAAATAATAAATTAATAAAATTAATTTATCGAAGAAAATTCCTCCAGGTAAGAAATAAAATGAATAAAAATTCCATTGATTTGATTTCGCGCATCCGGTGTCAACTTTCCGCTCGATCGAAAATTAGCGCTCGTGAAAATGCTGATCCAAGGAAAAAGTTGGACCATGCACTCGCACCGGAAAAGGCAACGAAAAATTAATTAAATAGAACCAAAACTTCGATCACGCCATCAGACCACGTGACCTGTTCTTGCACAAAATTGCAAACACATCAAATCAGCCTTGGTGACTAAATTCATCGAAGTAAAACTCAGTATCGACTTAGATACCATCAGAGCACGTCTAAATAGATCGAACTCCTTGGGTGTATACGCGTACGGAACTTTTCGGCTTCAATTATTCGTGCCAAATGTACAAGTTAAATTCAAGTAAAAATCACCGTTAATCTAGTGAAGAAAATTTATATTTAAGCGAAATTAAACATTTTCGCCGCGAATCGATCGACAGGCTGCGAATTGCTTGTCACGCTTTTGTGAACGAAATTGAGTGAAACATTAAATCTATACCATTTGAACAATACTAAAATAAGATTCGGAGTGACATTATTATGAATTCTCAATAATTAAAACCAATGTGAGTAGAAATTACAAAACGAAATTCCGCAGGAACTTCAGAATCAATTCAGGACTGTGATCAAAATTAAATACAAACTACATTCTTTTAAAAACTTTTGTTTCGGACTGAAGTGTCAAATTAAAGAAGAACGATTTTGTTAAATCCTTTATGGTACAAAATCGTGAAATTAAAATTGTGAAATAAAAAGAGAATTCAATCATCCAAAAAAAGGTCCATTAGGAGTAAAAGATACAACAATCATACATCTTGAGTAAGTAAATGGGCAAAATTCAATTAAGTAGCTAATCTGGCGTAGAAAATCTAGTAGAGTCCCCGCGAGGTAGAATTGTTTAGTCTCCAATTGCGAATAGAAAAATCCTCCGTGAAAGATAATTTTCTCCAGATCAGTATAATCGCCGAAGCGAGTGAACCATTTGGTAATAGGAACAAAATCAAAATTAGAGTCGTTCATAGTGTATGTAATTTTCGTGAGACATTTGTAAAGGTATTGTAAACTCAACTATAAAGGAAAATTGAAGTGAATAAACTATTGTTAAAAGGGGATTTCAGCTGATTCAAATTTGTTTTATGGTCGATTGCCTATTAATTCCTCAACTCTTCAGATGCCCCTAGCGCTTTAAAGGTAAGGATCCACTAAATAAAAATAATTATTTTATTCGATAAATAGGAAAAATTAATTGATGATTAACTTAAAATATTTGGAATTCATTGTTGGGAATTTTCCTGTTTACCACAATCAAATTGTTTAAGCAACTATGTCGAAAATAACATCTAAACAGGAGTTTTTACACGTAAAAATTATGAAATTAATTTCAAAGAATTGCAAAAACTCCGAAGGTCCAAAAAAAAATTACGAAGAATCCCCTCTCCTCGTTGTTTCGTTTTCCAACTCGATGTAAAACTGTGTCGAATCGCTTTCTTCAGGGCCGACAGTGGGAAAAGCCAAAATGCCGTCATCCGAAAGGTTATAAATCTCGAACTCGGTGAAAAAACCCAAGCAGCCTCTCTCTCTCTCTCTCTCTCTCTCTCTCTCTCTCCCTCTCTCCCTCTCCCTCTCACTCTTAAATAGCTCCCGCTCACTCAACTCGTGGGGGTCCTGCAGTATCCTGAAAAATGGGGTGGCGTGGTGCGTGTGAGGTCCTAAACGGTAACAAAATGCCACAGATACTGCGTGTAGTAGCGTTTGAGGACATGACAATGGGGTACCTCCGGTGGCGGCGTCGTTTATTCAACCATTGCCTCTCGGTATGTCCTGTCAACGCCCAGTGGGAAGTCAATGAATTACTGATGTTAGTTTTTTTTTCTGGTGCCATTCAATCAATTCAATTTCGTATCTCATCCTAAACTATTTTATCCTTTTTCATCAGTTCGAAAAATTAGTCAATGTTTTTTGGGATTGCAATACATTTTTCTTGAGCCGATAGTGACGATTAACGATTAAAAGCGTTTATTTAACATAATATGGCAATTTAACAATATATATACTGCTATATAGAAGCTTAACAAGATTCTTCCCAGCCCTTGGGCTCTTATTTACAATTAAAATGGGTGTTGTATTTTATTTAGATAGCAGGGGGATTATTTACAATGGAAATACAAGGTACAATAGAGAAAAGCTAACAATGAAAAATCCTATATCTTGAGTGTTATAATATGCTTAATTGTGGCCAGTGGACCGTCTTGCGATTTTGCGTGTCATTACGGTTAATTAATGAATTTGAATGCGTTTTGAGATTCATTTCAAAATTGTTTGTTAGATGGTCGATGAAGTCGTAGGTCATTTCTGTATTGGATTTATTGTGGAAGGAGGAGATGGGGGTTCTGTAATAGGCATTATTTATAACTCGAATGAATTTGTTTTTTTGGATGATTTTCTTAGGCATATGGATGGGGGCTGCATTATGCCAGACCAGGCAGTCGATAGTGATAACATTTCATAAGAAAACTCATCCATTTTTTTGCAAAACCACTGGAAGAAAATGGGCCGTCATATTATGTTTTCAACCAGAAATTTCACTAGCTGTCGATCTATGCGCTCCTGAAACTCTAGAAATTGAGAATGATTTTTTCAATTTTTGTTTTTTAATCGAAAATCGATTTTCATTTTTGATTTATGGGGATAATATTTGATTGCTTATTTCAATTGTAATTCGGATTCGAAGTGACAACCTAAGTGTTGAAATTTTTTTTAATGACGTAAGTTGAGTGAGAATTATGAAATTCATATTATTTTCATTAATTTGAAAAAAATAAATTGTGAGAATGAATTCATGAACGCGAAGGAATCGAAATGAGATAAAAGTAAATGAGAGACGGTGGGTGCCTTTAAAATGGCATTGGGAGGGGGGGGGGACAGGGCGAGGACCATTAGGCTAATCCCTCGTCGGCGGCCGAGGCCAAAGGAATAAGGAAGGGAATAAGAAGAAATAAGAAAGCCACAAGCTACGTGTCATTCCTGAGCGGTGTGCTCTCCCAACCGCCGACACCTATCCGCCCTATACGTGGAGTTCTCAATCTCCCTCATCCTATCTCATTCTTACTATCACAGGCCCTGAGACAAAAAAAAATTCTTAAACAAATTCCGTCATTCTTCGTGCTCCGAACGTTCAATCCTCACTTTTTAACTCGCGGATTTCTCTGGTCTAGGACAGAGTACGACCCCCTCACCCCCTTCCCTGCCACAATATCCCAAAAAATGTACAAAAACAAGAGAATATATCTTGGAAGAATTGAAGAACCCTTAAAATTTATTTAAATTCATTTAATTTAAAAAAGTTGAAAATACTCCACCCACATGATCCCCAAAAAAACTACCTAAACAACTCCTCCGGCTCCTTGGAATGAGTGCCACTGTCGACGTGTGGCAGGCGGTCCGTTTGATCTCAGCGGGGCTTACTCGCACGTATCCCTCGCGCCTCTCAAACCTCCGCATTTCTCCTCTACTCGAAAAAACCATTCAACTCTTTTTCCAAACTGCCTCCCACCCCTCACTATATCGCGTCTTTGTCCCGCTTTCTTTCCCTACTCCACATGTTAACATATGAAATCCTGTTTCTCCCCGTATTCATCAACAACAAAAACGAGAACACAACCGATAGTTCAACTTGAACATGAATTCCGAACTTCCAAAAATGCATTCCCATGTCTAGTCAACTGTCAACGATGAGTACCAAATTTATTTTCGACATTTGTCACTTCTCTATTAAGCGATGACAAAAAACTCTCCCTCCTAGTTCTGGGGAGAATAGAAAGGGACAATACAAAAGAATTAAAAATTAAGTCGCGAGGACGTGTTTTTGCATTCATTTCCGTTCTGTTTTTTTCAGGTACTCGAGGTTGCGGCGGGGAGGAGGGGGAAGGAGTGCGTGTCCCGGTAAGTTATTGACACTCCTGTAATCCGTTTGTCGGACATGTGGGCAACCTGGGGGCTAATCCAGGCCCTCACGCCTACCTCAGATTAAATTCCCTCTCTGCTTCTCTTTTTTACTGACTCTTTTAGCGATGCGGAGAGAAGTCAGTCTTTCTTCATGGTTTTATGAATTTTTTTGATGGGGAATTTATAGGCCATATGAATGGCGGGAGGATTTTATTTATGCATTTAGAGTAATTAATATAATTTTTTAAATCACATCAATTCAATTTTAAATGCCGAAGTAACTTTTTTATTGCTAACCAACTTCCCGACCCGAAGGGAGGAAGTTATTGTAATGACCCCGAAAATCGAATGTGGAATTTTCATTATTTCTCCACACGGAGAGAAATATTCAATAAAAATTACGTATCTTTTTCGTAATTCCAGAGCGAAATGTGGTAGTAGGAACTTTTACGGAACTGTCACGGAATTTTCCCAGACCGTTCCGTAATTTTTATCTGAAACTCCTGTGAAAAATTACGATACCGTCACTTAAATTTTTCTGAGTCGATTCCGTAATCGGTGTGCGAATTGTGAATTCCGAAATTTTTACTGAACATTTCTCTCCGTGCACATTTCGTGGCCCCTAGAATCATCCTGATACGTTTTTTAAGACATGCCTATATGTGCGTGCGTGTATGTATGTACGTATGTGACTAGAATTTTGTCCAACGATATCTTCTGAACAAATGGACCGATTCAAAAAAATTTTTTTTTAATCGATGCGTGTTAATGTGACATAGAACTGATTAGGTTATGAAGAGTATCGTCTTAGCGGTTTATCACTAATTCGCACAAAACTTGTGAAAAATAGAAAAATCGAGTTGTCTTTGAAAATTCAACAATTTTACCGACAATAATGATGGGTTTTGATTTTTGTAGTAATGTCGATGCATCTAATTCGATTATGATTGGATTGTGAGCAAAATCGTCTCAGCCGTTTTCTTCTTATCCGGATGGACATTTCAAAATTTTCGTTTTTTCATTCTAAAAAACAGAAAAAAGGGAATTGGTCGGAAAGTTATTAGTTCGATCTATAATGGGTTACACTCACTTCAACCCACCCAGAATGGGAGCGAGCGAAGCGAGCGACCAACAATCCAGTCAAATTTTTTTTATGCAGTGAATTGAGGGGACAGAAATAGTACATTAGAGTACAAGGGTACAAATTTCGTTTTCAACGAATGTGTAGTTTACAGGCCGAGCCGAAGGCGAGGTCTGTACACACATTCGTTGAAAACGAAATTTATTACCGAGTGCTCTATAATATTTTATGTCAAATCGTGCAGAAGTCGAGTTTTGAGCAGGCTGCGCGAAGCGCAGCGTGCGATAAACTCGACTTATTGCACGGCGCGACATAAACGATAATTATGAGAGGGAAAAAATGTGGAGAATTACTTACCAGCACCGAGTATTCCATTTATAGTGTAATCCTTTTTGCTATCGTCCATTGACCTACTGCTACTTCGTAATAGTCGAGTTATACAGGTAACACTTGGTGCCTCCTCGTAACCCTCCTGGAACAAATAAGAATAATTTTTAATTTTTATTCTAGTGCCCCAAGATTTTTGAGGTGCCACTAAATTCCTATAATAAGATTTGTGATGATTTCTCTTGAAGAAAAAAACATTGCTGACTAAGCGAAATCCATGTTCCGAAGCGGGACTTGAACCTCGGTTTTCAGACTGGGCTATATGCCTTTACCAATTGAGTTATCGCATTAGATTACCTGCCTCACTAAATTTATCGCATAAAACTCAGGATGCATTCGTCATGTGAAAAATCGTTAGTAATTCTAAACAATAACATGAAACAATTTCCGAAAGATATGTACATTATATTCGAGCCTCGTCTTCGAGATTTTAATAACTTGTAGTAGTAGCCCGCCTGCGGCTAGATGGAGGCACACGCCTTCAGAGACCATAGAAAAAATTGGCTGTGGCACCTCGGCGGTGAGGGCTCGCCATCTTAACATTGTTTTCGTGTGTGCGCGAGTGAAACGCACGCTTTTCAGAGTTTCCAGTTTGTTTTGTTGTAATAATTTATTTTTCTCCGTTTTTACACAGCTTGTCCATAGTCATGGATAATTGTAAGAAGAGGAAACACATAAATTGTGTGGAATATCTAGAAATCTATAGTGAAATTGCAAATATCACGTGCAGGGGCTTATCGACTTTTCCTTGGATAAATAATCGATTGGAAATAAAGGTATGCGATTTTTTGTCTCTCAGCGTTTTTAGACGATCGGGTCAGATCCTAGAGACAGAACCAATCGACGTCAAAGGCTTTTTTAGGCCGAGTTTATTCCTTGTGGAACAACTCAGCCTATCCTCATTTTACCTGGTTCTCCTGGTCCTAGAGACAAAATCGAGATCAAGGAAATTAAAAATGAGATTGTTACAAATATGTCAGATGGATCTTTCATCCCTGACATCCAGGACAGTGCGAACAACAGCTCAGATCCTGTTGTGCTGGACACATCTGCGCCTGACGCACTTACTCAAGGCTCCAAGCCTTGTTCTACTATTTCAATAGTTGGATCTGCGCTTGACGCATTGATCCAAGGCTCCAAGCTTTCTACTACTATTATGATAGGTACATCTGCGCCTGATGCATTAAAGTAAGGCTCTAAGCCTTCAATTACAAATGCAATTGTTGTATCTGCGTGTGACGCATCATTCAAGGCCTCAAACCTCCAAAATAATATTCCACCTGAACTCAATTCAAGAATATAGGAGTTCCTGGGCCATCGAAGCCTCATGATGCCGAGATCTCTTTTCAGAGTGATCTGGAAGCTCGTTGGAGTTTCACAAATTACACAGATTTATGGAAATATCCACCAAATCTGAATTCAGAGATTCCTTTTATCTCCACCAAACCATTGATCCATAGAGATAAAGAATTTTTAATCAATCTCAAAAGACGCAGGTTCTGCCCTCGTAGCATTGGGGGCGACTCCTCGAAGTCTGCTCTAGGAAGAGAAACTAGATAATCTAGTCCTCTTCCAGAAGTTGTGTGGTTCAAGAAAAATAATAAATTTTTGGGGCCCTTGAGGCTATAGCTCCAATTTAATTTTTGTATGGCTTCACATTTTTCGGAAAGCTTGAGAAGATTAAAATAAATCTTCAAAATTGTGTCAACGTTTGGAGATTTATCCACCTTTACAGGAGAATCTAAATTCATTGGATTCANGGGGCCCTTGAGGCTATAGCTCCAATTTAATTTTTGTATGGCTTCACATTTTTCGGAAAGCTTGAGAAGATTAAAATAAATCTTCAAAATTGTGTCAACGTTTGGAGATTTATCCACCTTTACAGGAGAATCTAAATTCATTGGATTCAAAGGAGCTTGTTTTGAGACGTAGAGTTAAAACAAACGGTTCAAAAACCTTCCATGTCTCAGGTTGAACAACAGGTCCGACCGGAGGCATTTCCTCAATCGTCCCAATGACTCTCGATCAACGTCAGCGTCTTCAGAGTTGTCTCACTTCAGGAGAGCAAGAAGTAATGGCAAAAATCTCTGCAGCCATTCTTGAGCATTTCCTTCCCAATTGGGGATTAAACTGTTCTAGTAGTTCTATTCTAGAGAGACTGAAGAGTCATAAAAGCCTCTTCAATTCTGGCCCTTACCAATCGGTAATTCCTCCAGAATTTCAAATCTCTGAACTGAAAGGGACAGTCCTGAGAGGCGGATAAACAGGTATGTGATCATAGAGGTAGTTAAAACCTCTGTATTACTATCAGAATCCTATCAGGATCAGCTCGTCTCATTGTAACTTTTTGTTGGTGAAACCACATGATTAGCAATGGTTAATTTTTCACATTAAAAGGTTGAACACATTTATGCGAACGCAACTGAAGGACATGAGAACTCTTCCAAAACTAATACTTTGTGACACATTCACGGATGGAAATGTCTTCAAAGACGTATATTTCCTGCCCCGGTACATGTGAAGCATGAAAAGTTCCGTTGTTTTGGCATGACTGGTATTTTTTCCAATTCCTACCCCTCATTTGGATTGCGACTAGTTCTCTAACGAGAGTCATGAGGCCGGTCATGAATCTTATTGATTCGGAGGCTTCATATTATCCAGTTACCTAGATATTTTATTATTAGTTTTCCGGCTATTGAGAATGGTACCAATACAAAATTAAACTGTCAAGGCTCTTTCTTGTCTGAACCGTATTAAAGAGCAAAAAGCGTTGTGAATATCTTAATTTTTTCAATGACTCTTACAAGTGTTGCCTAGAAACACCTTATGAAAGATGATATGCGTTTTAGCGATTTATGCAATAAATAGTCTATTTCATCAACTTCAATCTGGAAAATTTATTCCATTAGAGTGTGTTTTCGCCTCATAAGCTCCTTAAAATTTATGGGTCTACATTGGCATTGAGTATACGCTACACTGAAAAACTTGGAAGAATTTTAAAAAAGTCAAAATGATCATTAATTATGGAAATTTGGAATGATCTCTTGTTCTCCTCAGCCAGATCTTCCTTAGTAGCTCTTAATTGAGCTGATCAGTCTAGAACAATTATTCTTCCAGACGCAGCCTTCTTAGGTTGGAAATCTACCTCTGCGTTAAAAGATCAAGTCGAAACTTCTGGACAGTATGAGAAAGTCACAACAATATAAATTCCTTAATGTTTTGACCATTCACCGAGCTCTTAGGTGTTTTTTCATGACCTATGATCCTACGAGTGTTTGCCCCAAATTAATAACATTGCAGGCACTCCCTACGTTAACGGGTTGTAAGGTACAAAATTCTCTCCGATCGAATGCATCTTACATTCCTTCCAAAGTGAATACTGAAGCTGTACATTGCAATCTAAGTTTTTCAAAACTTAGGTGAGAAGGATTTTTTCAATCCAAAAATGGACCTTTTCTGTCCCTCTTGTCAAAATACCAACGCAATTTCTAATACGTGTAGTACGGCAATCTCCTTGCAGTGTCGATTGACATCTTTTCAGTCTCGATTGGTAACAAAATTTTCTCTACGTATCCCCTACATTTAGCCTGGGAATAAATTGTGAATTTGTCACGATTCGTAGAATTCCAATCGTGAGACCGATGGTATAATGGTCTCTACCTGTTAGATAGTTGAACTCTGCTTCCTTGCTTTCATTTATCCCATCTCAGAAACAAATTACAATATCAACTCCTTGAAGGATCTTTTACTTTCACCTGGTACCAGGTGCATGTATCATAACTGATGTTAATGTTTCTCTTTGTCGTTAATAAAGTCTACTCTTGGAATATTGTGGATTTTTATAAATGGAAGAAAATTAACTGCTGTTTGACATCTAGTTCGATTATCCTGCACATTTTTAATGGCAGAGTTCAAATAAGGAACAGCGTATGAAACAGTAAACTCCACCAAATCAAGAAACAGTGGGAAAAAATTTAACATTCCAAAGGTTGTTCAACAAATTTGCAAACTACATCCTGGTAAATCACAATGCACTCACATCTAGTATCATGAGTGTATTCTGACCTACCACCCAGGTCTTTCCCACTCAAGGCAAATCTGTCAATTCTTCATCTTAATGAAAATCTGTCTTTCTTTTGGCCTTGAGTATTTCGCAGAGACGACAAACTTTTTCTGCCATTAAACTTGAGAACAGTGTCAAAGGTGCGTCAAATCTGGATTTCACGATACGACAGGTTACAATCTTCTCGCCCAGGCGATCCACAGCCTGTTTCTCCTTTCCGTTTTGAAAGGCATCATTTTTGCGCAGCCAAGGTAGCTTTCTGTAGTATGTTGAGATTGTAGATATAACATCTCTATACTGTTCGTTACCTTCAGAGAGTTTTATAGCTGTGAATCTCCAAAAACACTGGCCTAACGGATTATATTGTCCTGTAGCCATCTTGTCGATACAGCTAATTCTCAACTTACATTACTAAGTATACAACAACTCCAGCTGCTGTGAGAAAACGAGTAAGTCTCGAAAGGTTTAGAAGTATGATTTGTACATTTCTATAATTGCCGTATCCGCGGTTGATCAAAGCTTTTTTGTCAAAGTTCTATTGAATATGGTTTAGTCAATAACCATTCCCTTTGTCCATTAACATTCGTCTTTAAACTCTTCAATATTCATATTCATATTAAATTTGGGGTTTATTAAAAAAAAAAACAAAAAGAAAAAACTGGATGATCTCAGCACATCTACAAGTTATTAAAATCTCGAAAACGAGGCTCGAATATAATTATACAATCAAACGAACTTACCTGTAAGTGAAGTTCGATCGTGATTATATGAAGAGCCTCGTCGAGAGATTCAGTTCCTCCCAACTAGCTTTCCCAAACCCGTCCAATTTTTTCTACACTATTGCTTAACTTTAAACTAATGATAAGATGGCGAGCCCTCACCGCCGAGGTGCCACAGCCAACTTTTTCTGTAGTATCTGAAGGCGTGTGGATCCATCTAGCCGCAGGCGGCCTACTACTACAAGTTATTAAAGTCTCTCAACGAGACTCTTCATGTAATCACGATCGAACTTCACTTACAGG